TTTCTTAACACGGTCAGTGGACGCTTTAAATTTTTTCCGTCTGAGTCTAAATCTCTCGTTTGAAAAGCAGATAAATAGACAATATATCGATTTTACCTCCTAATTAAATTAAAGAAATTATTCCTTTCCCCCCTCTATGACCTGGTACCTTATGGATGTCTTCATTTCCCAACAATTACTCATTAATTTTAAGATTCCGATGGTCATATGTTAACTTAAAGGATCATAACAATAAGGATGATATAGCTTTTTTCAAGCAAAGAAGTTAATTCGTTAAGAAGTATTTATTTATTTCAAATGGCAGGCGTTATGATAGCTATCATTAGCCATTTAGCTGACTTCGGGCTTCACAGAGGGAAGGTTCATCAAAGTAGCAGAAAGTCGAGGGGTGGGGAACAGAAGAGCGATTCACAGATGTAAAAGAGGCAGACAGACACAAAGGTAGAGAATAAGGTAAGATGCGTACTGTGAAAGGGGTCGAATATGACAAGCAGTCAGGCCACGCTAGTTTGAAGTGAGAAGTCAACTGCCGGTTAATAGACTTTTTTGCCGTATGAGTATACGTTGCCCAGGGTACACCACGTGGAGGTAAGTCTATCGCACACCCCATTCGTTAAGAAGTAAAAATCCCTTTCACTAATTTGCTTTGCGTTGTTTTTGCGAGTTTTAGTCTTACTGTTGACGTGATTACCTAGAATGTCTTGTAGCAATCTGGATTAACTTTATTGCATTCTTGGTTGCAATAATTTGTTAAGTTCATTTAAGGAAGTGGTAACAACAGTTGACTTGAATGGGTGAATATAACCTGAAAACGTCCTAATGTGAACCTCACGTGCCGTCACTCTTCCCTATTTTTTGCTGCTCAGCCTTGATTTTTCGAATCAGTGGATGTGATTTGTAACGTCTCATACAAGCACCTTAATCTCAGCATCTTACTTAACTCCAAGTATAAATGTGCTTCTGTAATTGTTTGACCTCCACACCGTTAAATCTTAGCCATATTTCTCATAATTTCTGAATACTAAACTGCCTCTTCCCAACCCTCTATTCTATTTCATATATTTCCCTCATAAACTAGTGGTCGTTTTCAATAATTAAGTTTATTAATCTTCCATGGGATTAAGGTATTATGAGCTTCATTAAATATCGCATTGATATTTCTGGACTCTTCAGCTGAACTCTCAAACTGATCAGATTGCTTTTATCGAACGTCTTTTTAATCGTATGATCAAAGATAATTATTCTTAATCACTACGTGATCTGTCAACTATTTCATTTTTAAAATAAAACTTAATAATGAAAACTCATTGTTCTTTCATGTTTTACTCTGTGTTTTGACGTTCACTATCTCTTTAACGTTTCAACCTAGTTTTGCACTAATTAAATAAAATGTGTTTATGCGTTGTACATATAGTTCTTCCATCTTGGTAGCTTATTCGTTATTAATGCTGAGTTCATTCTTTAGGTTCGTTCTGCTTTTCGTATTCGCTTCTAACTTGGCTGGAATTTTCATTGCTGCTTCTTTTGATGCGATTCGACTGATTCCGGACACTCTGAGTAATCCTGCAACAACTTCTATAGAGAGCGATTCACAAACACCTTCGCCCCAACTCTATAATCTCAATTTCAATCTTCCAATTGAACAACTAGAAGATTCCTTTTTGTCCTATCATCGGTCTGTTGGAACTCCCATATCTCAACCTGTTAGCGAAGACAATTACAATACTCGTCGTCGACACGCTAATCGACACTCTTTCACCAACGCCATGAGTAAATTCATGAAATCTCTTGGACGGAGTCTTCGTAGTGTTTCTGTAAATGCTGGAAAAAGCGTTTACGAACCAGTGTTACGGGGTATTTGGTCAATTAGTCAATACTTCACTAGCCTCTTTTCCCTCTTCTGGGGTCAAACTTCAACACATACTGAACGTCCTACTCGTTCTCAACCTCGGTCCTCTCCAATTAAAACCTCAGTTGAACCCGCCTCATTACCTTCTCGTACCCATCAAACACAGAACCGAAAAATTGGAACTGATGGCACTGAAATTAACAACATCTCCACTCCCCGTAAATCATTAGACGATTTAAAACGAGTATGAACTTCTATCTTTATGCGTGTATTTTTTACAGTTAGACTTGAGTTCATGCCTTTTAACTCCATTCCAGACACCACGACAGTCCCACACGAAATCGAATGGAGATCTGTCAGCCTCTGTGTCAAATATTACGCAGGCTAGTGGTGATAGTGCAAGGTATGTATTTGAATGTCAAAAATAGCCTTCACGTGTTAAGAAAGTGCGCAGAATTTCTTTAGGTAGTTTTTCTTTACTACTCAGTGATAGTTAACTATTACTGCTCCACTCTTCATGGCTAGCACGATATCAGCTGTCAATTGCACTATCTATAGCTAATGAGTGCTGCCCTGTGTACTATGAAATTTTAAAATGCTCTTTCCATTATTCATTCTTATCTACTTGTCTAAACAATGTTATTAGTAGTTTCCATTATACATTTTGTAGTTCAAAGTCACTTAAACTGGCGCCAATTTTTTGCATCTCATTTTTTACTCCTTTATAGTATGGCAACAGTTTTCAGTAATCAGCCGTCGAAGGCTCGGGGCAATGGAATTAAGCAAAACCCAATAAATGGAGGTCCTATTGACTTAACATCTTCACCAAAGTCAAATTATGGTACTTCGAAGAAACACTCGTTGCCTGCATCATCGCATCCCGTATCCATGGTACCGATATATCCTAAGGGTCGGAACTCGAAGCCAACACCTCTAATATCCATGCCGCCTCCTTCACTCGTTATGGAAAGCATTAAGGTTGAATCTGCTTCTATGGGAGTTAAGAAACGCAGGCAATTTCTTCCACACTCACCTCCATTATCCAAACAGTCCACTAAAATGAAAAATAACTTGGCCAGGGAGACCCCACCGTAAAATTTTATTCTCTACTTTCTCCTACAAGTGTATTTTATCTTAAATTTGATGAAATGTTTTCTCCTCTCCGGTTTTAGCACAAAGCAGAAGTCCCCTCCAATTGACTCACCCTCTGTAGAGAATTTAGGTATGCTGCGTCACACCTACTTGACCTAACTGGTCATTTAAAGCTTTGTCACGCTATTTGGATTCGATATTTTGTTCCAAATTTGATGGAACATGAAAATTTTAATCTTGTAGTCTTCCTAGAGCACATTTTTGTGGTTCGAAGTGATGTACCGGAACGTAGAAGGTATATAGTTCCCATGCTCTGCAACTAATTCATCAAAGTCGACTACGGTATGACAGGTACATCTATTATTCAAGCTATTGGTTGTTTTCAAGGCGATTGGTTTATGAACTATCATTGCTTTACGTAAGCCTCTATTTCCGAACTCAATGTAATCTTGTTCTTTGTAAATAAGTAACTAGGTAGTTGGTTTCTCCTTTTTTTAAACTCCTTTTCGTAAAACTCTCCCTTATTTTATCAGCAGAACCGCAGTGATCACAGAAATGTTGCTATCAGACGACGGTAATCACACAATCTTGACTCATTTTCCTCTTTTCTGTCTAATTTAGCAAATTTTCGGTTTCCATTAAGGTTTTTCCCTCAAGCATGGTCTATTCCTGTATTTTTTAAATTATCTGAATTAGTTATACAACTTTATTTTGATTAGCCATAGCAAATTATCGTTAAATGGAAGGCGGTATTAGACCCACCTTTACCACTGATTGGAGTGAAAGCGTCCACATTGACTGGTTCATTCATTTTTGGCTACCTATCCCAATTTCTCAGTAATCGAATTGAGCTATGGAGGCTTAGTTTCTCACTGCTGGTCATTCCTAACATCAATTTTCACAACTGGTCTTCCTTTTCACACTCCTGTCAGTAGTGCCGACTCATTACATATACCATTTAAAGCACTTATTAAAACGTTGCATTGGCTCAGTTCCTTGAAAGAAGAAGGGAGAAATCCTGCAGCTCACAAAGCTGTTTTTTTTGCGAAGTAGATAAACTTGCCTCTCTCTATCATTGGATATTCAGTAAATGATTGACTGTTTGATTCACCAGTAATAGTTGCAATATTTGTATTAGTAATTTTATCGCATATTCATGCGCAAATGCAGAAATCCGACATTCAATGAGCAAATGCGAAATCGAATGAAATTTACGTATTTCGAGGGGCATTTTGGTGCTATTCAAATCGTCTTTTTGCCTCTTAAGGGTTTTCTTGATTTGGCTGCTGGAATATTTATATCTTTAATATTTTTCGGAAGTAATATGGGGAAGTCAGATAAACAATAATGACATGGTGCTCTGAAATTACGAAGATTGAAATGTCTCACTCATTTACGCTATGCTTTAGATGCAAGCTTTCTCTCTGTGTTGAAACATGTAGGTTTAGTTTAGGAAATTGCTATGAATTACAAGTCATGTTGGACAGTTGCTTTTAAAGCCAATTCAATCACCACGCTCTTCTCCAATTCGTCCTGAAGATAACTGATTAATGCTTAGCCTACTAACTACCTTGAAGGTTAAAGGGCCTCTGAACTGAACTGTAATATTTGCTTTTGAAGAATTAATTCTTACTAATTAAATTATACTATACTTAAGGTGCTCAACCATAAGGTGTAAGTGGTATTAGAACCTATTCGTTAGAGGACATCAATTGAATGACCTAATCAACAGTGTTTACAGAAAAAAAACTCAAAGACCGATAGCAAAGAGATAATTTCATCATAGAATTTCCTGAATGCTTCTTCCCCTTTTTAAATGTGCTTCGGAAAAGGGCTTCAGGGATTTTGAGATTTCATAGGTTCGATTGTGCTAGAAATGATGTAAGGTGATAACACATCTGCTTGTCGTTCATACATGCATGAATATGCATGCATGAAAGGGTTTTAATGTTTGGTTAATTTAATTAGTTTTAAATAACAATTGCATCACGTGTAAAATGTATTTGCACACTATTATTTATAAAAGTGAATGATTTTGTTAAAAGCGCAACCATGGTTAAGCTATCCTCGTAGTGTGTTCTGTATTCATGTCCTTTTGGGCCATATATCGACCTGCAAATTTATCATGTCATATTCTTGCATTCTAACTACATTTTTTAATGTTTCCACAGCTCAGCGAAAGAAGCCAGAAAAGAAGGTCAATTCTTTCCTAAAAACGTCAATTTTATCCTCACAATCTCTGCCAACAGTTCCAGTTTGGCAGCCTCGGAAAGTTCGGAGATCTCCTGAAGTTTCAGAGGCGCCAAAGGTCGCAAATGAATCAATGGGATCAGGGTTGTTTGGATTGCCTTCAACTAGTGTTTGGTCGATTGCATCCAAACAGACAGAGTCCACTTTCGCCCCTCTCGTGGGCCAAAACTATTTCGGAGATATAGAATTTCCACCTCTTGGAACTCTTCCTCCGAAACGGTCCAGTAGATCTTCAGCGATCGATGAAGGTTAGCTTAGTACCAACATATTGTAATTTGCAATTTTGAGTTATAATTATAGCTAAATAGGATATTTTCTCTCAATAATGGATGTACATTTATGATATCATGGATTTGGCTTGATAAGCTCGTCTAGTTGCTGAAGTAAAAAAAGATATGTTTTACCTTTACATTACCTTTATGCTAAATGATTCCTTTTATAAAATTCATGCTCTTGCCTCTAGAAAGTCAGTGTAAAATATCCAAATATACGTCTTCGGCTCTTTTCATTCTGTGAACTTTTATTTGCTTATGCCTAAGGTTTAATGTATTAGTTCTCATAGACTGTTTTATTTTTTTAATCTAGTACCTGAATGCGAAAATTCGAAAGATGACAAAGGTATGTTGTAATTTTTGCCTCAAATGTCATTTAAATGATTTGAAATGGCTACTTTTGTGTACCCTTCCACCTGAGCATCTTAGTTGATAAGGTTTGACTAACACCGGTGTTCAATCCCCTTGGTGCTGTGTGCTTGCGGTCTTTCGACTAGCTGATATAATCTTTTAAGGTTAGGCTTATGTCTATTAGTAGGATTAATCCTGCCCCATTAGATGATAGTAAAATATCTTTGGTCCATTTAAAGAGAAAGAGATTTTAAGTACTTATAGCTTTACGTAACCTCATATAATGACACCGATTTCTTCTATCCTCACTATTTGTCAGAACGCATTAGTGTGGTTGTCCATTCGGGTCACTCAGTGGGCACCGATTGGCAACGATTCTATGAACTCGGATTTCTCAGGATTTTAGCATTAACTTCCTTCAATGCAGATAGTAATTATTTTGATGTTTTGCAATGATCCAACTCGAAGAGGTTTGGATGCGCATTTTTGTCAATGTCATATTGCGAGTATCTGAAACGAGATTTTTGTTCCGAAATTTCTAACTTAAGATATTACACTTAGAGGCCTTTGAGCTCAGATATCACAAGTAAAAATTTATTTATTTATTTCAAATGGCAGGCATTTTGTTAGTTATCATTAGCCCTTTAGCTGACTTCAGGCTTCACAAAGGAGGAGGGGGAACATCAAAGTTACAAAAAGTCGAGAGGGGGGGACAGAATAATGAATCACAGATGTAAAAGAGACAGACACAAATGTTGAGTAAAAGGTAAGGCGAGATCTGCTGAAATGGTGGAATATGGCATAGAGTGGGGTGATGGTAGTTAGAAGTCAGAAGTCAACTGTCGGTTAATAGACTTTTTGTTGCATGAGCATACGTTGCCCAGGGTGTGCCACGTGGAGGTAAGTCTATCACACACCCCTCGCAAGTTAAAATAATGATCTTGAAAATAGTACGCCAAAAGAGACTAATTAAGATTGGTAGTGGAATATGTGATAAAATCGTTAACTTCGGTTATCTTAAGGGCTGTTTCATTCGTAAATTGAATTGATGTGGGTATTAAAATTAATTTAATCGATAAATGAATCAATTTAACAGTTGGGAGTTTGTAGATAGAGCATTTTACGAACCTAAAGACCACAATGTCAACTTGCTCGATTGCAAGACAATGCTTAATTATAGGAAACCGGAAAATTCACAATTTCATTTTAATGAATACGGACCTTCAATACATCGAATGTCTTCCGATGAAGTCAAATGGGCCTCATAGTGATGGGAAAAAATATGATTGAGAATCGGATCATAATCATAAGGCCGCAACAACTTCCATTAGGTGTTTTTTTTTCAATGTCACACCATATCGAAATAGACTTTGTTACCTTATGCTTCCTTTGAATAGCTATCTTGAAGATTCGCTTATGTGGTGAAGAGGTACTAAAATCTCTTCTTTGAAGTATATGGAAGGATTAATTTTTTCTAGTTTCCGGTTGTTTAACATGCCATGAGTCGGCGATTAATTTAGTAATTCCATTTCTAATCTTAATATTGATGCTTTACACAATTTAATCACCGTTGAAATAAACTCACTTAATTCCATATCGTATTAAAGCATCTTAGATTGTATTAATGGGTCTTTTTTAAACAAATTCATAACTTTAGTTCATAGGCTTGTCGTTTTATTAAACATAAGCATTGAATATAGTACTATGATTATGTAAGTATTATATGTGTAAGTGATCCAAATAAATGCCCATGAAATTTTCTATCATTCGTCGTCTTCACTTAAGTATATTGTCTTACTTCGGCCACTTCTTGCTCCCATTATGTTCGGTTTAATAAGTCATTGAAGCTTGTCTTATTCATGAAATTGAACTATCGATCTGAGCTACCTTAAATTGAATGGACCCTTTTTTCGTTTTTTTTTGAAGGCGTACTATCGCCGAAATCTATATGGAAATCCCCCACAAGTATGTTTTTCTTCTTCAGCTTCCTTTGCCACTTGTCTTCATTATTTTTCATATATCATTACATTTATTTAATCTAGAATCCAAAAGCGAACTTGTGCGAGAAATTGAACCCACAGCTTTTTGGATGAAGTCGTCTAAAAGTATGATTTTCAGCTCTTATTTCTCTGAGTTCCTTATTTTGCCGCTTTTTTTGCTTCCCACAATTTCTAACTCAAAATATTGAATGTTACTTGTCACTTAATGTAATTGTATAGCTAATAACTGGTGTACTATTTGTTTGAAACCTAGCTGATTTGGATTTTCCTCCGCTCGGTACTTCTCCGTCAAAGCATCCCACAAGGCCCTATTCGATCGATGAAGGTTAGTTCGTTAGTTTTGGCTAATTTACTAACATCCTAAAGCTCTTGACTTCATATGCTATTAAACTTACAGCCTTAAAGATGCTATTCGTGATAGGGGTGTTTAAGTTAGGTCTATTTTATTGTGTTTTTTTTTTAAATTCTTGTCCTCTCGTTTCTTCGCTGCTCTTTGAATTCTCCACGTTTCATTTACGCAGTATCATCACTGTAGCTGATCTTGGATTTGGTTTGATCTGATATTTAGGCAAATAGTAGTCCACTTTCATGACTTGCCCATCGGTTTATTCGGCATGCTTATTTGCATGAAGTCCAGTGCTTTTTGATCGCTTGATTAACTTTGATTTTAGGTCTGACTCTTCCAAAGGTCTGGAGAGTAAAATATGCGGACGTAATCATAAGCAGCTTATATGCGAAAATTATTTATGGCAATCAACATCATTCTTGAGTTTAAAAAGGATATCTCAAATGCTTTGAGTAGTTAGAGCTTATAGTAGCCAAGGGAAATATATGACTAGTTATTCTTTGCTTGATTGGCAGTACGCTTAATTAAAAAAAATGAAAACTGTACTTTATCCATCACGTTAGGCGTTGATTTAGTGAATACGATGCCCTTTTGATATAGCTTAGTTTGTCCAGTTTAACTGTTGAAGAATAACGAAACATGATAAAACACGCAAATCGCGAGTTCTCTTAAGGTGTCCTTTCACCGGAATCCAATTTGAAAGCGTCCAAAAGCATGGTTTTCGTTTTCTTTTTATTGATTAATCAGTCTTTATTTGAAATTCTCAGCTTCTTTAATAGATCGTTTTCAATCCAGCTGTCTCTTAACACGCCCCCCCCCCCTCTCCAAACATATCATCCATATTCGTTGAATATTCACCTTTTTTAACTAATTGCCTGGATGTAAAAGTTTTCAAGACTTTAAATTTGTCTATTTTCGTTAAATTATGCTTTCTCGTTATCATCATCACCATTTTTTGTCAGAAAATTTTTCTAGTTGATTTGAAGTTCCAATATTTGGTCACTTCTTTACTTAATGCCGAGGAATAATTTTTGATCCAATTAAGGTTTGTTAAAATCGAATTTTGCAATATTAATCCCCTAAGATATTTAAAAATGGTTACTGACTTCAATCTAACGAATAGGTTTGATTCATAAACAATTCCTAGCATGTCTTTTAGCAATAGGTAGGGACCCTAATTGATCATCATGCTTCTATTTTTAATTATCTTTGGTAAATTATTATTATTTCAAAAGGCAGGCCTTATGATATTTATCATTAGCCCTTAAACTTTGACTTCAGCTTTCCCCATGGGTAATGATATTTATCATTAGCCCTTAAACTTTGACTTCAGCTTTCCCCATGGGCATTCGACTTCAATCTTTGGTAAACAAGGCTTCGTTCATAAAGCCACCAGAGTAATTAAGATCGTTAAGTTATGTGTTTGATCAGTCACCAAATTTAAAGGTTGTTTCACTGAAATATTATAATTGTCACCCCCTCCCCTGTATTTTCTTATGACAAGATTTTGTCATGAATGTCGTACAAATAGCAAATTAAAGTTAGCGCTTTTCGGTCTCTTGAGCTGAGGTACTAAATCCCATTATGGATGGGACTTCGAATCAAAACATGGAATAAACTTAAATTTATTGGGTTTTATTTATCGTTAAGGTGGTCTACTCTCACAGAAATCGAAGTCAAAGTCATCCAGAAGTATGCCTTTCTTTTTCCTTGCACTAATATTTGCCTTGGCCTGTCTCTAGTTAAATCAGTCCATTGAACTTAGAGCGTAAAAGTGCAAGAACCCAAAGACTCGACCATATTCCTGATTGTCTTGCATCATACGGAAGTAATCGTCTCCCTTTGTCATGTGTATTCATGTTTCAACTTTTCTTCTAACCTCTTTGACATGGGTTACCTCATCCTTAAACTGTAGATACTGAAATCACTCGTGATATCAAAGGTATATCCAATTTCATGAAATCCTTCAAGTTATGTTGGTTTATTTATTCGATCGTTGTTTTGTCATTCAGTATTTATAATCTAGAATCCGAGCAGCAACTTGAAGACTTAACTGAATGTTTGACACAAAGTAATGGTTAGATATTATGTAGTCAATCTCGCAATATTTGAAGCCATTAGTGTTTGTTTAATAACTTCTGAAAGTATGTCTGTTCTTTTGTGAATAATTCAATCTCTTGAATCTAGATCCTACAAGTGAAATTGTGCCAGATCATCAAGGTATTTATGTTTGCATGCCTTAACGATTACTTTAATTCGTGTTTCCATTTTTTATTGGTTTCCTTGAAATCTTTTAACTAAAAGTAAATCCATTAAGAAGTTAAATATGTTCCTCTTTGTGCGTAATCCCTTAAAAGTACTGATTGTGTGTTTTGTTTCGTTTATATTCAACTCCTCTTCTTCACAATTTCTTCAACATTTCTAAACTAGAATCCGACAGTAATTCTCAGCAAAAAATTAAACCTTTACCTGAAGGTGCGGCATTATCTTAAAGTACTATTAGTTTTGGTTTTTTATAATTTTTTGACATTTTTTCTTTGTTTATTCAACTTTTTCTATCTAGGCCATGAATTTGAAAATTTACAATGCCTTAAAACTGATGACGATTGTATGACATCATTTAAAAGTGCGAGTTTCCTCGTTTTCAGTTACTTCTTTCTGTTGTTGGGTTTTTAAGTTCTTTTTTTATTTAGGGCCTAAGTGTGAAAATTCACATGAGACAACAGCACCTAAAAGTACAGACCGCCCTCTGTATAAGTTAGAATTATATATATGTATTAATCGACTTTTGAAATCTAGTATCCGAAGATCAGGACGTTGGGGAAACTCAAAGTATTTCTCTTTGTGTGGAATTTGCTAAAAGTACGAATTCCTTTTGTTATAAGCTCTTACCACTAATCGAGAGGAATTTATTGACTGAATCTATTCGTTCTATAGTTTGTTGCGTCGCTGTAGGAGAAGTAGAATCTATTCAATATATTTAGAATTCTCAGTTTGATTTTGCTCACTATGGATGGCTGGTAGTTAATTTTACCCTTTCGTGACTTGTCATAGTGATGGCAAGATTTTCTTCATTTTTTAATAAAGAATAGGAGTTTACTTTTTCATGAGAAGAAACGAATTTAGAGAGTAATGTTGAGCTTACAAAGCATCATTTCATCGGATTTATAAATTCATCAGGCTATTATCTCGTAAATAACGACAATAGTTTCCTGATATCATAATAAAACTGCCGATTTCTAAGTAAAACTTCATCTCTTTAGACTTCAGCGCCTATTTACCAATAGATTCATTCATATCAAGTGGCAGGCGTTTTGATAGTTATCATTAGACCTTTAGCTGACTTCAGGCTTCACAGAGGGGAAGGGACATCAAATTGAAAAAGTCGAGAGGGGGGGGGGAACAGAAGAGTGTTTCAAATATGTATAAGAGACAGACACAAAGGCAAAGAAACTGGTAAGGTGAGTACTGTGGAAGCAGTCGAATATGACATACAGTGGGGTCTTGGTAGTTTGAAGTCAAAGGTCAACTGCCGGATTATAGACCTTTTTGCCGTATGAGTATATGCTGCCCAAGGTGTACCGCGTGGAGGTAAGTCTATCGCACATCCCATTTACTAACAGATTGGATTGGCTGTTTGTCATGGCTATAATTTATTAGGGCCTATGGAAGTATGCTTTTATTAGGTTATAAATTGCTATTGTAGCAGGAGGTTCAACTGCCCTGTTTGTGTAAATTGAGCCGTGCTCTTACAAGCCTTCTCTATATCTAGAAGCTGAATGTCACGATGTCATTAATTTGTTCATTTCGTCCGATAGTCAAGGAACGGCTTATTTATAAGTTCTCAATAGATTGATTTTTCCATTCAGCCTCACTAATCTAGTAACAGAAAGTGAAGCTGTACAAGAAGTGGGAAAATATCGCATACTATCTAAAAGTATGAGTTGCTATTTTGTGTGAAGTTCTTTTCTGGTACTTATTAATTTGCTTTAATAATTATCCGCCCTTCAAAGCCTAGAAATTGAAATTGAATTTGTTTGGGATATGGGGGGCAGTCTCAATAGCTTGTGTCATCTAAAAGTATGAGTTTTCATTTTCTTATGTTTCGAATTGGTATTGTTTGGTCTGGCATATAGAGACCAAAACTACTACCCACCTATAAATTGAATTCATTTGTAATATTTCACAGTTACTCAATATTACGCGATTCTTTGATTAATCTTTAATTTGATTTCATGAGTTTCAATACGTTTTCCAATAGCTGAAAACGAATCTGTGCAAGAATTAAAGGATCTTTCCAAGAGTATAATTGCCCTTCCTTTATCGTTTAGTTTCTTCAGTTATTCAACTCGCCCTCAATTGGCATGTTTAATCTTTTCTTAATTTAGAGTATGAAAGTGAACATATTCATGAAAACAAGTTCCCACCTTGTTGCGCGGCATCATCCGAAAGTATAATGTCTCTTTCCAATCCCTTTATCTCTCTCAAATCTATAATCTGAACCTATAATTATGAATAAAGATTTTTTAATATTTTAAAATTATCTGAAAGCATCCAGTTTCTTCTCTTGTTGTTTAATTTCGATTATCTTCGTTCCTTCAACGAATTTCTCTCACTTTTTCAGAAGCTGAGGATGTAAGTGTCCCGAAAGTGGAGGACATTGCTATTTGCCAAAAATTCTCTAGAAGTACAGGTTATTCGAGAAATTTTATTTAATTCCTCAGAAAAAAAAATATCGTCGACCGTAGACTATTGGATTATTTTTTACAGAATCTCAAAATGAAACAGTATCAAGAATCGAAGGCGCTTCCAATGGTGCAGATTCACTTCGAAGTATAAACCTTCGCTTCCCTTATCTAATTAAATCATTTTATTAGTTATTTAATTCATTTAGTTAATTCTGAAATTTGGCTTTTACGAAGTGCTAAGAGTGTTGTTGAATTTTGATAAATTATATCGTTCCTCTTGGTATCTCTTTTAAAGTGCCCGTGGTGTAACTGAGAGTTGTAATGAACTAATATGAAATCTCACCTTTAACGTTAAACAATTTATTATTACCCTTCTCTCATAATCATGTTTGTTCTTGAGAGACCTCAAATCTAAGTTCTCTCTACTTTGCAGTTGCCACTGAGCCGTATATGAATTTTTCTGAAGTTACTTGCAGTATGTCAAGCGTACTATTGTGCATGTATTGTCCATAATTTATTATTACACCTTGTATGTAGGATGTCAGTTATTTTTCTGTGGTGTTTATTTATGCTCCTTTATTTTTACTTTTTGCCAGCAATTTCGCAGACCTCCGTTGTTCATGAATCGTTCTATCGTATGTTCTTTTTTATTTCCGTTGCTATTGAGCGTTTTAGCTAATTAGTATTTGGCATTTGTCTTTAACTTGCTCCAAATTCTACTCTGTTACAGTTATCTTTTCTCTCTCTCTGAGATGGACCTAATGAAGTATTCCAATAAAATCTGAAATTTTTATGTGCTTAAGCTTACCTGAAGCGTGTCGCTAGTTGCACAAGTGATAAATTTAACTAGCATTACTTTCTATAAAATACTGTTAGTCAGACTTTAGGAGGTGGTGCTATCATTTCCAAGTTTGGATTCTTAATTATGCTTCTCGTATTTTGAGGCAATTTCGCACAACTTGATAATAATTTGCAACTGAATAATCTAATTATCGTGTTCTCATTAGGTCTTATCTGAATTGTGAATTGGTGAATTGACCTCTAATTCGATTTTAAATTCTATTCATGCTTAGCTATGTACATGTTGCCCTCAGTTACCTACAAATAAAGTTGTGTTTTTTCGTATTGTTCACAATGTATGTTTTTATCTTCTATTAAAAAAACGAACCAAAATGTTCTGAGTTTTTTTTTCAATGTGTTCTGCTTTCCGACTTTCTCTATGACTTACTATCATTTTAAATGCAGAATCTGGAAATGAAGTTATGCGAAAGGATAAAGGTAACTCGAAATGTTCGCAGTTCTCTAAAATTAAGTTTATAAAGTAATTTTGTGTGCATTATTGCCATATCTTAACCCAGAAACTGAAAGCGACATTGCAGATGAAATAAAGCCTTTCTCCAATTGTTCAAGATCACCCAAAAATAGGGGTTCGCTTTGCTTTTTTGTTCTGTCTAGTTCATAATGGATCCTCTTTCATAAGATCAATTTGATCCAAATCTAGAATTTGGAAGGGATCCTAATTACGAAGGCAAAGGTAGTGGCCTTTTATTAAACTGCTGTAGTTCTTACCTGTTTCTGATATTCGTATTTCTAATAGCCAAGACAGCAATGATTGCTAACAATTTTTTTCCGTTGACTTCAAGTAAGTATCGAAATGTCTCAAAGATAACCTAAACTGTCCCTTTTTATTTTTTGCACTTTTAACTAATCTAAATGTTACTCTGAGTAGATTCAATCTACTTTCATTTCCTCTCCTTATACTCCAATTGACTTACTCATTTTTACTGATATAGCTCCATCTGCATCAACATCACAGGTGATTGAGAAAGTTACCACTATCTCTACGAAAACGGTGGTTCCTACTGATATTTCATTTTGTATGCGGAAGTTATGAACCTACGTTTATTGTTTTATTCTATTTTCTCATTCGTTTTTGTATATTCAAATAGCTACATCGAAGATTATCGTAACTCCTAGGCCAACTCTTATGCCAACTTGTCGTATGTCTTCTGAGTACTTTTGATTGCTTTCCTCCCCTATTCTTTACTTTTATGCTGCGTCTTTTGACAATAGAGCAATGTCTGGCCTCCACGCAGTTCTGCCCGATTCGACATTTTTCTCCCCTTAAGTGTTTTTCTCCAAAGTGTATATAATATATCCTTAGGACGTTTAATCAAACTATTCTTAATGAGTTAAATTTTCTGTATAGATCTCCCTACTTTTACTAAATCTAATGGATCAACAAATCCACCTAACCTTTTGCCGATTCGTATGTCTATCATTTCATGTTATTTTATACTATCAAATCATTTTCAATCAATTAACCTTAAAGCCTCTCCTTCCTGGTTAGAAATCTCACCAATTTATTATTATACGTATCCTTGTGTTCTACATAATAGTATGTATATAATGGTACTATTTACTATTCTCGTCTCTGAGCTAATCATCTTATTTTTCAACAGTTTGGTCCGGTATGATAAACAGCCGTAGGTCTAAAATGCTGTTTTCAATTGTTTTACGAGCTTGTTTTAGTCTGTTTAACAAAATCTTTCTCACTTAGAAATGGCACGTCTGATGGCGAATACTTCGGATTTTGATAGACACTTACGAGAGGCTGGTAACTTGCATAGTACAGGCAACTGGTATGACATGTCACCTCCCCACCAGTACGCCTATCAAACACGATATATTCATCCACACGTCGGCACTTCTTACTTACAGCGTGGAAATCAATTCAATCCAATGACACATCATCACCGAGTCTACCATTACAATTCATCTCTCTCGAAAAAATCTTTCAATCACTCCTCTGCCTACCACGATCAGTTCCTTGCATTAAACACTAACCAAGAGTTTGTGCCCACATCAAGCCAGAATATGTTCCAACCCCTACATGATAATACAGTTATTGAACACCGTAGGCGCCGGTCTTCTACGGGCCAAATATTCAATGATAACAATGTGTTGAGCACAAAAGAACTCGCAAGCGACCAGGAACTGTCTGATCTAATGCTCTATTCCTCGACGCATCGATCTGTCACGGACCTCTCGTCAATTTTATTTAAGGAAGAGGGGAATATTGACAGTTTCTACCCACCTGAATGGAACAGCGCCTTTGATGCAACTTCACGAACTGATATGAATGAACCGCCATTAAGTTCATCTCTCCACTGTGAACTGGAACAACTTACAGAATCAAGGTATCAGAGCATGATAATGCACGAAAATCGCGGCAGAAATCAATCTGGCGTTGAGATGGAACTTGACCTTCTGAAAAATATACCCATTGCGGATTGTGATAACTACATTTCATCCAATCTTTTGGAAGACCTAACAATGGATGATTCCTTTTCTAGAAACGGCTATGACAGAACTGTGGGAGGTCAGTTGCCAAGTACCGAGAATCCCCCATCGACAATAGAATCGAATGAAACATTCCAGGATATTCCCGATGCTTTTGACTTATTCGAGAAAACTTGGTTGCCTGCTTCCTTGCCTTGGCGTAGCCGGTTCTCCATGGGTGAATCGACGCATGATCCAGACTTTCTAGAATCGACATTTCACTCCGATATTCCAGGACCTATCATTCAAGATGTTAGTTTTTTACATCTATGTTTTATGCATCTTATTAGAGTGACCTAGTGATTTTTTTGTTTAGCTAAACGAGACAATGACGGTAACCAATGACGAAACAGCGCGACCTCGACTGACGACAGACACGAATCAAACATTTTTCGTTGAAGTTGAAGAGTAAATGCCAAAATGTCTTTCCAGACACTTTCATGGAAGCTAATCTCATCAACTCTCCTAGGCCGTCTCTTTTTAGTTTTAAAAGTCGCGTCATGTTTGTTGTTGAGTAAACGTTATTGTTTGTCTCAAATATACCTTTTTATTTCACTTATGAGTAATGGGGAAGGAAAACTCAAAAAATATCGACCAAAAATATATGAAAAAAGCTAGGATTTATACATGAAGGGAAAGAGACGCAGTAGATTTACTTCTCATTATATTTTGCATGAGGCTGATTACGAGGATTTTCAGGGGCAGTTTGGAACATCTTGTAGATTTTGTCATTCAGCTGCGAATGCCGCATTCCTGGATTCTCCGCCCTTAAAATGGGCATCATCTTCTCTACGTAAGCCAGATATGCTGTCTTGAATCTCTTCTCTGGGTGCTTGTCAGGAGTGTCGTCGCTTACACTGCAAGGCAAAACCAATTGATTTGGGATTTAGATATGAAAAATAATCCATAGATTCGATCCAAAAAAATAATAGCTGAAAGTGGGCTAATTAACCTTAAGGCCTTAATAGCATCCTCAACCGTTCTAGCGGAAGTCTCCTCGGGTGAAAAGATATTTAGGTTCTCCACTAAGTGATCTGTCTTCTCGACTTCCTTTTCAGTTTTACGCATCAATATGGCGTGTTCAGCTTCTAGCCTCGCACGAGCTGAAGCTATTTGTGCCTGAGTAAGCTTATTGGAGGTAGAGGTTTGGATCTTGGTCTTTGCTCCTTGGAGACTATTCATTTCCTCGTCATGTAGCTTTTTGATTTCTTGCTTTTTCTTAATCGCTTCGAGGCGCTTGGCTTCTCTAACTTCCTAAGGAATGTTAATGAAACGTTAGAACTACCTTCCGTTGCAATTTTCGCACAACGTGCTCATCATCTTCAACCCACTTTGCATCTTCTTCTTCCTTAGCCTTTCTAGACTTTAGTTGTTCTTTTTGAGCTTCTCGCCTTTCACGTACTTCCTGTGATTTAGTATTTGTTCCAAACTTTTTGGGCATCGTTTATTTAGCAGTTCGCAGCACAGACTTGACGTGGGCAAGCGTCCAATAACAGGCAACAAAAATGACTGAAGTCAAGGTCACTCAATAAAGTTTAAATAGCGATATTCAATATAAATATCATATTTAATGGCATATATAGTTGGCATAATTATACATAATTAAATTAGATAAATGCAGTCATATTCTATAGAAAATATTGGACATGCTTAATATTAAAAAATAGTTACGGTGCTAAAATTATTAGGAACATTGCCCATTTGCTTTCATCAATCAAACTAATATTTGCTCCACTTCTTAATAATGCAATCTTAGAAATGCATTTACTGTTTTATTAATTGGAATCACAATAACGGGATTTCTACATGGGTTCAAATGAAATTTTTCATAATGGTTTCGAACAGATTTGGTGGGCAATTTGTTTTTAACCTGAAACAGGGAAATTTTGTGGTTTTTAATAGCAAAAAGTAGCACTCAGTCGCTTACTCATAAACTAGCATTTCATCAAGTTCAAGTTACTATGCTTATGAAAGATAGCATATACCCGAACTGACAAAGTTTAATAGATGTGTTGTGAAATAAGCGTAGTAAAACACATAAGAACTCACTAAGATTAATCCTTAAGTGAAAGCATAAATCAAAGTCTAGAATTGTAGGGAAGTTATTGGCTATGAATTAAACAGGAAAATGCCTTCCGTTTTTGACTTTAGAGAAATATGATTTCACAAAGAATTTTTAAGCTTCCATTTGCTAGACTTGTAAGCCACAATGAAATCATTTACATTCTTGAAACCTTTCTTTGTTTACGTTTCAGAATGCAGTTGATTCCGCGTTGATCAAGTGCGGTGCTTATAAAATTGAATCAATTCTACTTTTAGTATTCTAGAATTAGCTTTCAGTCTTTGTAAATATAAGGTTATATTACATCCAGATCAGTAACTCAAAAGGCCAAATAAAGTGACTGGAACGAATTATCTCTTTAAAAACCACCTCAATAATTATTACACTTAATTGACTGGCATTAGCAGAAATTCAGACATTAATAGTGAAATTAGTGTTATATAAAATTTAAAATATTTATCTTATTTTGAAAAAGGGTATGATTAAGTTATATCCTAAAACCATGTTGCTCTTACCATCTTTTGAATACTACTCAACATGCATTTTCATTTAATTGACTTCATTTTAACTGCCTTCGTTTCCTTCATTCACCTAAAAATGTAAGCTTGCATGAGGTGTCCTCCTCTATAGGCTGCATTAAACGGTTCTATAATTCACCAAAATATCACTTTAGCTGCAAAGGCATTCAAAAAATATTTCAATAGAAACTGTAATAGAACATAATCTCGAAATATCCATGTTTACATGTCAATCGACCTTTTGAAGAATGTACATTTTATATGTAAATAAATTGGTTCGTATAATACGCTATTAGAGGGGGGAAACGATAACTTATATATATAAGCAGAAAAATTAATTAAAATTTAATTCATGAATGCTTGATATTGAGCTTCGCTTAAAAATGCCATTTTGGTTGTATTAGCAGACTAAAAATATGCGGTATAATTTATGCAAGGATAATATCAATATTTTGAATTCATACAAATTAGTCTTAACTATATGATTACAATAAGAGTGTTGAAGAATCATACTATGTTAGCAGTTAAGGCCAGTGCATAAATTTATGGATATATTTATATGTTTGCGTATTAATAGCAACTAATGATTTATAAGGATCACTCATTATAAATGTTAAATTAATAAGTTTTCATAAACCGAAAGCAATATTCAATATTTCAATTTTATAAAAATTTGTCATAAAATGGAGAGCTAGAACTATAAAAACATTGACTTATTAGACAATGCTTTCTGTAAATAGATTTGGATTTTGTTTTAATGTGCAGCCGTAAATTAACAACTATTTAATGCTTAGTTGATTGTTTCCAGACTGTTCTAGCGTTTTTGCGAAATGACTTCAGCTGTTGTTGGATTTGACGTTGGTAGTCTTACAAGCTACATTGGTGCCGCCAAAAGGGGTGGAATAGAGATATTAGCTAATGATGTTAGCGATAGGAATACTCCGTAAGTGCATATCGTCACTTTTTAATTTACTAATTAGGTCCTGCGTGGCTTTCAATGGAGCCTCAAGATTTATCGGTTATGCTGCTGAACAGCAATCCGTAACAAATCTTTCCAACACAGTAACTGCTTTTTCCCGTCTTATCGGCAAAATGGAAAATGATCCTATCATAAATACTGAAAGGGAACATGTTTTCTATCAAATTGTTTCAGACAGCCAAGGGCGGGCTGCTATTATGGTTCATATTAACGGAGAACCGACTGTTCTTCTTCCAGAGCAAATCCTTGCTATGCAACTTCATAAGCTCACCGAAGTTGCTGAGGCGGATCTTAAGACAAAAGTTGTGGATGTTGTTCTGAGCGTGCCTTCTTATTACACTGATCGTGAACGCAGAGCGTTTATCGATGCTTCGAGAATTGCAGGACTTAATTGTACTAGGCTTGTGAACGAAACAACAGCAAGTTAGTAATTGTAATTAAAATTATTTTTTTTTCTAGTTGGAATTGCGTATGGTCTCACAAAGAAGGAATTGCCTCCCTTGGATCAACAGTCAAGAAACGTGGTGTTCGTAAGTCTAGGAAACTCAAACCTTCAGGTCGCTGTTATTGCATTCAATGATGGAAAGATGCGAGTTCTTTCAACTGCCTGTGATCCCTGTCTTGGTGGCAGAGATTTTGATATGGCTATCTTCAAGCACCTGGTAAAGGAGATTCGAGAAAAGCATAAACTTGACGTGATGTCAAATAAAAAGGCTCGCGTTCGTTTATTGAAAGCGTGTGATAAGTTGAAGAAAGTTATGAGTACAAACTCTACGGAAATTCCAATTAATGTAGAATGTCTTATGGAGGACACGGACATTTCTTGCAAAATGAAACGAGAGTTCTTTGAGGTAATTTCTTCTCTTCGTCTGTATCTATTCATTTGTGTAGTCGCTTTGTGAATCTCTGCTTCTGCGAGTTAAACAGACAATGGAAAATGCTCTTGTAGCTTCAAATCTTAAGGTTGAGGATCTTCATTCTGTGGAGTTAGTTGGTGGAGGAACTCGCATTCCTGCTGTTAAGAGCCTTGTTAAGGAAGTTTTCCAAAAAGATGGTAGCACAACTCTTAATGCCGATGAAGCCGTTGCCCGTGGATGTGCCTTCATGGTACTTTCCTCATTTTTACTTCGCACATTCGTCAACATTTCTTTTAACGCTTTTTATGTAATCTTTATAGGCAGCCATTTGCTCACCGGCCTACAAGGTTCGAGAATTCTCCATAACTGATGCCTGTCCTTACTCAATTTCGCTCAGTTGGACACCTTCATTAGAGGATGTACAAACTGCTGCTAAAGACGAGGACCCAAGTGAATCTGCTCTTGGTGATTCGACTGTGGTATTCAAACAGCAGTGCCCCATTCCTGCTACCAAGCAGCTTAAATTCTACAGAAAATCTGATTTCACACTCACTGCTAGCTACTCTAATCCTGATGGCATGCACATAGTCAATCCCCTAATCGGAACTTTCAGAATTACTGATGTTGTCCCTTCACCGCCGGATGATACAGCCCAAGTGAGGATTAAGATGCGTGTAAATGCTAATGGCATCTTCACTATTAGTACTGCTTCTGTCATGGAGAGAGTTGAAAAGGAGGTCGAGGTACCGATTGAAGAAGAACAAACTGTAAAGGATTCTGGAACTGCAGCCCCTGTTCCACCTCCATCTGAAGTAAAAGTGGAGACGAATATTTCTTCACAATCCGATAAAGCTGAACCGACTCCCGCTGCTCCTGCTGAATCGCAGCCCATGGAGGCAGACTCTAATGAAGTTGCCCCAGTTACCGCTAAACCCAATGTGCGGATTGAGAAGAAAACGTTCCTTAAACCACGCGATGTTCCTGTCAAGTCAACCACCATGCAGTTATCACAGCAACAATTACTTGAGTTCACTGATTTTCATGTTAGCATTCCTTCTCATCATTGCCATTTTTTGATGGATTATGTTAATGCATTTATTATTTTAGGCAAAGCTTAATCAGAGTGACGCTGTGGAGCGCGAGAGACAGCACATGAAAAATGCTCTAGAGGAATACGTCTATGACATGCGTGGCAAGTTGGAGTCTACTTTGAATCAGTTTACAACTGATGTTGAGAGAGAATCCTTCAGGAGAGAATTGAATGCTGCCGAGGAATGGGTCTATGGAGAGGGTGAAGATGCGAAGAAGTCGATCATTTCCAAACGACTTGAAGCTCTCAAACAACCTGGAGATAGGTTCATGCTTCGTTTTACGGAATTTGAAAACCGAACCTCGGCTATCAACGGTCTTACAAATGCTTGTGAAGTAAGTTCAATTTTACTGTTATTTCTTAGTTTCTTGTTTTTCTTTAATGTAAGCACTTTATTTTTCGTATTTTAGAAAATCCAGCTGATATTGGAGAGCTACGCTGCAGGAGATGATAAATATGAGCATCTAGCTAAAGAGGAGATGGCAAAGGTGGAGAGTTCATTAAAGGATAAGCAAAAGCTCCTACATAACTTTATGGAAGCTATCGTTAAAATGGAGCCTACTTCAGACCCTACCGTTTTTACTGCTGATCTTATCCATGCTAAGAGGGTTCGCAATACTTCTTATAGTTAGGGTTGTTTTATGTCTGGGTCTTTAAGATATTTTTTGTTTACAGGACCTGGAAGTAACTTGCAACCCTATTATTTCGAAACCAAAGCCAGCTCCCCCACCTCCAGAGCAAACGAGTTCACCAACAAAAGAAGGCGAAGGTTCGACAAATTCATCGGATTCTAAGGAAGTACCAAATGCAAAGGCATCAAAGGCAGGCCCCCAATCAACTAATACTGCAGGCGAGGACATGGATGTTGATTAAATTAGTCGTTCTTGATCTGTTCCCGTTCTGTCTTCGTGCTTCAGTCGTCACACTAACAACACGGCCATGCACAACTAAACCTCTTGCTGAGCATTGCTAATAATGATTCCTGTAATACTTTTTATTGTTCCAAGCTAAATATTGTGTGTTGTTAAAAATATTGAAGTTGTCCTTTTGAATAACTCCTCGTTTCTTATTTCTCCGAATTGGTGTTCTGTGTTTAGTCTTTTCCCTTTTAGCTTCTTGTACATTAGTATATTATTGGGGTGGCCGCTAACGTAAAAACCTTGTATGGTGTGCTGTGCGAGCAAATTCTAGAACTTTCGCGAGGAAGGAAGTTGGTTGGATCACGTTGGAAATTTCTTATTGGCCCATGTCTTGGTACTTTTCCCGCTGCACTTTCCAGTTTGTTTGACTTGTGATATTTAGTTTACGCCAAATATCGATAAATAATCTTTTATTTTCAGTCGATTTCAAAACTTTTATGAAATATAAGTATAATAAAAGCAAATCAAGTTGTTAATTCTTATATCAGTAATCGATCTAAATATTCTTTCAACTTAAGAAATCTTTGGTACCACATGAGCTGTGTTGAGGCAGTTTAATGAATTAGAATTGAGTTTGTCTACACTGGAGATATCGATTATTAAGTGGTGAAAGCTAGCATTTGAATGTTCACCCTTGAGCATTACCCACGTTCAGCCCATTGCGTTCGCTGTTAGTGCTCATGCTTCTTTTAAGAAATGTAAATAACTGGTATTTATATGATTTCATTTTATCTAGTATTTAGATCGTAGAAATTTGGAAACTAGTGAATGTTTTACGTCTGTTCAGGTTAACGGGATTTTTAGCTTTTTTGCCTCAGTACTCAAAGGAAGATTTTTGTCGACCTCAGTGAATATGGCTAAAGTGGTGGAACTGATAAACCTAAAATGAACTTACCTCATATCGGGCTACACGGGCCATGAAAACGCTGTGAACTCATTATGAGTAGTTGCTAATTCCTTTCCTCCTGTTGGAATTGTATTATGAAATCTATTAATTAGGTTTCATGCTTTTAGGATTGCCACAGATAGCACAGTTACAGGGCAAGATAAAGTAGCTAGTTATCATAATTTTTAAGTTTACTGAGCGAAAGTTGAGTTCTAGGTCAGGGGATCTGAATGTATGCAGTATAAATTTTACAGCTTTGACCTTAGCTTGAGGTTAAGTGAGCAGGAGAAAATCAAAGTAACAGTTTAATCATCTGCTGATTGATTTGTTAAATCTATTCAAACAAATAAAAGCTTTCAACTAGAAGTAACTCTGCAAATAATGGTTAAAATTGGTTAGAGGGAGCCACTCATGCAGCCCAAAAATTTATTTGTATCAACTGGCAGGCGTTTTGATGGTTATCATAAGCCCTTTAGTTGACTTCAGGCTTCACAGTGGGGAAGGAACATCAAAGGGGAAAAAATGTCGAGAGGGAGGGGGGGGGGGGGGGGGGGGGAACAGAAGAGTGTTTCAAAGACGAAGGTAGAAAAAGGTGAGGTGAGTACTGTGGAAGTAATCGAATTTGACATACAATAGGGTGATGGTAGTTTAGAGTCAGAAGTCAACTGCCGGTTAATAGACTTTTTCGCCGTATGAGTATACGTTACCCAGGGTGCACAACGTGGAGGTAAGTCTATCGCACACCCTGCAGCCCAAAAAATCATATCTCTTTACAGCCACTTGTTGAAGTTAATAACATTTTATCATTAATATTTCAGGAAAAAAGTTATCAAGTTAGCGGGTTGTGTGCCATTTTGTCCAAAATATTCCTTCTTTTCTGCTATTATTCGTACAATACCTTCAAGCATTAGGATAGGCTGAGTCAAGGTCATGAAAGATCAGGAGTCATTACGCTTTATGAAAATTGATAACGGATAAGTTGAATGGGCTCCGCTCATATGTCCCTGATAAGTCGATACGCAATCGCTAGTACGTCTGCACCTTTCAGAGTATTATTGAGCGTGCCAATGATCCTATTTGGTAGTAAAATCTAAAAGGTCAAGCAAAATAGACAGGACACCTTTTTTGATAGGTTTGCACCAAGACATTCTTAGAACTAAGTGGATCGAAAGTGTTTAAATAAATAGCGAGTGCGAAAAGTCGGAAATTTCTGGAAGAATTTCTTATAGAAAAGTTTTGAATAAGGGAGCAAAGTGCCCGAGTCTCAAATGCAATAAGCTTAAGTTCATTAATTAACGTTAATAATTTTGATCGATCGTGAAGTTTCATGAACGCGTTTACCTTTGTATCGTGAAGGAAAATTGGCTTCTCACTTTCAATCCGATATCCCGTAGTCTTGCCATTCCTGACGGCCTTGCAGTGTTATTTTCATTCTCAGTTCGATAATCAAATCATATTATAACAAAGTTGAGTTGGCCAATCGTAACTTAATGGGGATGGCGCATGTTCAATTGTGTTGGTGAGTTATAAAGAAGTCATCAATAACGTCACCCTCACTCTAGACCGTGTATATTCGATACTTAATAATGTGCATTTAGGAAAAATTCAAACATCAATGACATTCTGTCTCAGCATTTCTATACCCGAAGAACAGCTGCGCTTCTTCGTTTTCTATTGACTAGAAAGCGTAGATAGCTCATCGTGTTAGCTGCATAACCACAAAACGCATGAATATTGATCCACCAGCTTTTTATAGAAGCCATGATAGTAATGGCTGTCTGCTTAATTCGCAAAGCATTTCAAAATATTGGCTTTCACAGCTGTGGATGAATTGAACCAACTGGGGATAGAAGTTATAAAGTGGAACTCAGAACTCAACATCAAAGAAGAGAAGATTTATTTATTTATATCAAATGACAGGCGTTTTGATGGTTATCATTAGGGAGGAGCATTAAA